ATTTAGAAATAAAAAAGACGAAAATAAAATATAAACATAAAATTTCTACCTTAAAATGAAAGAAAGAATATCTATTTACATCAGAAAAAACATTTAATAAAAACCTTTAATAAATATAACCACAATTCCAATGTATAAAACACAAATAAAAATAGAACACATTGATTTGTAAATACTTTTCAACTTCTATTCAACTGAATTCACTACAAATACAAGACATAGTGCAAATGGATAAACTTTTTTGGTATTTTGAAAATATTCACTCATTTTGACCATGTTCCAAAAACGCTGTGTCAGGGGCAACAAAAGACTGGGAAAGTTGAGGAATGATAAAAAATAACCTGTTCGGAGCGTTCCACAGGTAAACAGGTTAATTAGAAACAGGTTGAACTGGCTTCACACCAAATGAATTTTGAGCAGCAAAAATGCGCCTGACACCTCCGGTTGGACGTTCAGACCGGGACACAAACTAGACACGCATCTGAAGAGGGAGGAGCGTCTTGGTTTTTTACGGTCTGTCTTTAATGACGGATAATCAATTCACCAGATAACTTAGAGGCGGTTTGTTTGGTTAGTTTCACCACTCCAGGAGCTGCGAGCTGATGAGCTGTTTTTTGTCCCGAGCCCAGTTTAACACCGCGGTCAGTTTAATGAGCTGCTGACCTGCAGCAGTGCTGATATCTTCAGCCAGAACACCAACGGTAGATGGTCCATTTCAGCTGAAGAGCTCCTGTCTGTCTGTTTCAAGTCAGGAAACCATCACGTGGAAATATGGTTCTCTCTGATTCATCACTGCGGCGCGTCGAGCAGCAGAAGTTCACCTTTTTGAACTCGAGTAGCGGCTGCTTTGGACGCACCACATGCACGGAAAACGCTCTACCACATCTACAGCTACTTTGTGTGTCGCGCTAAATTGGTAGACGCGCGTCCACCATAGACTTTGCATTTAAACTGGCTGCTTCAGCTGCTCACAACACGTCCGGTGTGAACCCAGCTTTAGTGTCATCATTGGCCA